TATTCATTGATTAGCTCTAGTAATTTTCTGGAAGAGTCTTTAGGGTTTTCTATGTAGAGGATCATGTCATCTGCAAACAGCAAGAGTTTCACTTCTTCTTTTCCTATCTGGATTCCTTTTACTTCTTTTTCTGCTCTGATTGCTGTGGGAGCTGGCCAGTTTTAATTCCACGGTACTGCCTCTTTTGTTCTATGCAAAATCATAGCTAGCAAAGATTTTAAAACATTCAATTGTTAGGGCTTTCTACATCCACTAAGTATTTTACTTTCAAGGGATTCTGGAATCAGTTAATGAAAAGTTCATTTTTACAGATGTGAAAATCGATGGAACACTTGATAAAGTTTCCCTGTACACAGATGCTTTCATAAGCATCATATTACTGAATCTTCATAGCTACCCTGTTAGATTACATTTTGTCTGCTTCACGAGAAAAAAATAAAGCTCAGTAAGTTCAAATCCCTCACTCAAGTTTCTCATTTAAGAGGTGGCATAGCTAGATTCAAACCTTGATTCTCTAACCCCAAATTCCATATTTTCCCCACATAAAATAATAGGCTCAGGTGGCACCAGGGGTGAAGAATTCACCTGCCAATGCAGGAGACACGAGAGATGCTGGTTCGATCACTGGGCCGAGAAGATCCCCTGGAGTAGGAAACAGCAATGCACTTCAGTATTCTTACTGGGAAAATTCCATGGACAGAGGAGCTTGGCAGGCTGCAGTCCATGGGGTCTCAAAGAGTTGGACATGACTTAGCACACATGCACTAGACATAAAATAGCAACAGTGGGATGAAAACCAGTGCTCTGGTTTACAGTTTAGAAGGATAATTTTGTTTATAAGTCAGTCAGTTCAGTCACACAGTCATGTCCAACTCTTTGCAACCCCATGGACTGCAGCACGCCAGGCTTCTCTGTCCATCACCAACTCCCAGACCTTGCTAAAACTCAACTGTGAGCCTCTAGCATGAGTCAAGGTTATAAAGAGCCGGAGATCCATGGTGGTCTAAATGTGGTCCCCTTTCATCTGCAGTCTTGTTTTCTTCCCACTTCACTAATTTCCTAAATTTTTTTTCTCATTTTTAATTTAATTCCTTTTCCCTTGGTATCATAAGCCTTGGGGTCATCCACTAAAAACTCACTAATGATGAAGTTTTTTCTTTTTTTTTAAAGAAAAGGTAGTTTGAGATAATGTAAGGTACTTGTTTAGCTGTTAATCCAGGATGGGGTATACAGATCACTTCTTTCATCAAATTCAGCTTCCCAGGTGATGACTTCCCACAGCTGACCAGCGACACCATCAGAAGAGGTATAGTTAGCTTTTCTGGCTGTTCCTGAAATGGGGCGGCGGGGAGGGGGAAGCAAGAGNAGAGTCCCTTGGACTGCAAGGAGATCCAACCAGTCAATCCTAAAGGAAATCAGTCCTGAATATTCATTGGAAGGACTGATGCTGAAGCTGAAACTCCAGTACTTTGGCTGCCTGATGTGAAGAGCTAACCCATTAGAAGAGACCCTGATGCTGGGAAAGATTGAAGGTAGGAGGAGAAGGGGATGAGAGAGGATGAGATGGTTGGATGGCATCACCGACTCAATGGACATGAGAATGAGCAAGCTTTGGGAGATGGTGGTGGACAGGGAAGCATAGTGTGCTGCAGTCCACGGGGTCACAAAGAGGCAGACACAGCTGAGCGACTGAACAACAACAACAACTAATGTGTACAAAGCCTAAATGCCATGGTTTTAATAAGGTAGAGAGAGTACCATTATTTAACTTTCTCCCTTCCCCAAGGATATTTCTTATTTCTAGGCTCCCTTTAGCAAATTGGAATTGATATCACTGTGTTTTTTTGGGATCTTGGATTTTGAATGGACCAATAGATCCATTCTTAGCCTTTCTTGGTTGAAGACCATTATAAGCACCAACCGACTTTCCTGGTGGCTCAGTGGTAAAGAATCCACCTGCCAGTGCAGGAGACACAAGTTTGATCCTTGGATCAGGAAGATCCCCTGGAGAAGGAAACGGCAACCCACTCCAGTTTTCTTGCCTGGGAAATCCCACAGACAGAGGCACCAGGTGGGCTGCAGACCATGGGGTTACGAAGAGTCAAACACAACTTAGCAACTGAACAGCAACAACAATATTTCTAGTTGGTAATAATATTGCTTCAAGTAACTTAGCTAGCACTTCCTGGCAACAGCTTAATTAGGTGGCCTTTCCTTGTGTTTTTTTGTTGTTGTTGTTTGTTTTGTAAGAAATGCTTCATATTCATGTGAGTAAGTAGAACCTTAGTGTGAACTACATCTCAAAAACCTTCATATCCTTAGAATTTTAACATTTCCCTCAGCTTGCCAATAATGCCATTTCTATATATTCTATCCCTCTTGCCTGATCTCCTACTAGTGTTTTCTTTAAAAGAAGAAATTCCCAGGAAGAATGCTTATATTTGTCCCCTCCACTGTGTCCACAGTAACTTTATGTGGATAGTAGAGTCTGGTGGCCAAGGCATCTTACTTTGCTTTTGGTCCTGAATCTCCTTATTTGTAATAATGGTTCATGCCTCTGAATGTAAAGACTTTAGAAGAGGTCATTTCTTCTTGTTTCATGGTTTTATTCTTACAGTTTCAAAAAGTGGTTGCAAATAGAGCCATCCCTCCTTTCCTCCACTGGTTTAACTGCTGAGTATTTATTACATTCTACTAGGTGCATTCAAGAAGCTAAGATTCCACTCTACACTTTATGAAAGCTTTGTTAGTGTTAACAGAATACATATCTCTGGGAAAACATGGGGGTCCTAGGCTCATTATAATTTTAATGACCTACAGGACCTGATTTTTGCTTATTCTTTATTTCAGAGATCCCAGAAGACCCGCTTGTGGCTGAAGAGTATTATGTTGATGTATTTGATTCCTTTTCTGAAGAAAGTGAGGAGAGTGAGGAAGAAAAAACAGTATTCTCAATCAGGGATGAAGAGGTTGAGGATGAAGGACCCCAGCCTGTTTACAGGACAAACCAACAGGTAAAAGTTGCTGCCAGCAGAAGCAGTGGGGCTGTCCAAGGTGCTGACCAGGCTGTGCCTTCCCAGGAAGAGTCAAGGCGTCTTAGAACCCAAGTAGGAGGACTAAGGTTTGCTATACAGGCTCCACACGATGTGTCTTGATTTCCAAGGCCCGGGGGCAGGCAGGGCCCCATGGGATTGTGTGAATCTGGATGTGTTGATGAGGAAAGGGCTGGAGCACTCAGTACTGATTCAGGTGAGAGGATGATACACACTACACTGTTTATACACTGAGGAGCACCCCACACATAGCTGCCAAATAAACATTTCATGTGTCTCTTTAGAAGAGAGAAGAGGATATTTAAAATTATACTGTTCTGCCTGGTAGTCAGATTTGTGAGTCATGTCCCAGTGCATTAATTAGTTCTGGGGTTGAGGTCCAGAGATCTTGGGCTTAGGAGATGGTCTTCCTAGCCACTCCAGCCCTTGAAGTTCCCCCCTTACATACAGTGCTGGAATCTCTGAGTCCACGACCTTCCCACAGATTCTCTAACAATAACAATAGTAGCTTCATCCGGGTCATACACCAAGAGACAGCCCTGCATGTGATTTCACTGTTGGTTGCCTGCAGGAGAGAGGAAAAGCAAGAGTTGTGTGAAAAAAAAGCTGGTGACTCTGGGCAATTTATTCAATTTATACTTGATTTTCTTCCTAGGCCATAATCTCATAATCTTCCTAGTCCTAAACTTTCATAGGTACAGAAGCTTTTTACTAACTGGAAACATCAAACTAGTAAGATAAAAGTCAGTCAAAGGGCATCTGTGTTAATGGAGACTTAATTCAGGGGGATTAACTGAAGGTTGTCCAAAATCCATTCAGTCCTTTTTAATGAAGACTAGGCAATTCATCATAATACTCAATGAATAGATCCAGTAAGAAAGGTTCTCAAGTTATCCATAAGAAAAAGAAAGAGGCAGGGAGAAGGGGATAGAAGGGAGTGGTATAGAGCTGAGCAGAGAAAGGTATGAGAAAAAGAGAAAGGATGAGAGAGAGAAAATTAAGAGATAAATATATGAAGAGAGAAACAAATAAACATTGAGAAAAACAGTCCAGACAGTGAGGATTCAGCATACCAAAATAAAAACACTTCCCTTACACCATTTCCCTGTTTTCTCCAATGAACTTGTAAACAGAAGTACCTTCTACCACAAACTGAAAATATAATCTCTACTTCTGTACCTCTGTCCTAAACAGCAGAGACTAATATTGTTACATTATTACAGAAACTTCATTCTGTGCCTATGGTTGCAAAGCACACAATATGCAAAACACATCTGTTTCTGTCCAAAGCATCAAGTGGTAAAAGTTTAGCTACTAACATTGTTACTCTAAAATATTTTCAATAAAATAAAACCAATTTCAGAAAACCAGAGGAATCACTTGCAGATCATGTGACCTTGTGCAAGTCACTAAACCCCGCTGTGCCTTGGTTTCCCAATCTAATGAAGTAATTAATAATGAGATATTAGCTGTTATTAAGATAAAGCTATATAGCCATTTTGTGGCTTTTTAAAATGATACTTCCAAAACTCCTTAATTCTAAAGTGAGAGTTTATAGTACTTCCCTCGTGGTCCAGTGGTTAACAATCTGCCTTCCAGAGTCCGGTTAAAGATGGTGGAGTAGAAGGACATGTGCTCATCTCCTCCTGAGAGAGCACCAAAATTGCAACTAGCTGTTGAACAACCATCAACAGTAGGACACTGGAATCTCACAAAAAAAGATACCGCATGTCCAAAGACAAAGAAGAAGCTGCCTCGAGACAGCAAGACAGGAAGTGCTCTATCACAATAAAATCAAATCCCATACCCATTTGTTGGGTGACCCACAAACTGGAGAACAATAATACCAAAGAAGTTCTCCCACTATTGTGAAAGTTCTGAACTCCATGCCAGGCCTCCCAGCCTGGGGATAATACAAAGGGACTGGGATCCCCAGGGAATTTAGCCTTGAGGGCCAGTGGGATTTGATTATAGACCTTCCAGAGGACTGAGGAAACAGACACTCCAGTCTCAGAAGGCACAAACAAAATTTTGCATGCACCAAGACCCAGAGGAGAGGAGCAGTGACCCCACAGGAGACTGAGCCAAAACTACCTGCTAGTGTTGGAGGGCCTGGGTTGGCAGGGGCTCACCATAGGGATGGGGGCACTGGCAGGTCCCCCTTGGCATAAATCCTCTTGGAGTTCACCATTAACCCTACCATACTGCCCTAGGCCCCAGCGCTGGGTCACTTCAGATCAAACAACTACCAGGGAGGAAGTGCAACCCCATCTATCACCAGATGATTGCATCAAAGCTTTATTGAGCAAGGCCCTGCCCACCAGAGCAAGACCCAGTTTTCCCTACCACCCACCAGTCCCTCCCATCAGAATGGTGGAAGTCACTGCCAGAGAACAGGATATAGAAAAAAGAATGAAAAGAAATGAAGACAGCCTAAGAGACCTCTGGGACAACATCAAATGCANAACCCAAGGAGGAACATACAAAGACACAGTAATAAAACTGACAAAAAGACAGAGAAGGGAAAAATGACAAAGAACATACACGGGAACTCCCATTAGGCTATCAGCTGATTTTTCAATAGAAACTGTATAAACCAGAAACGAATGGCATGATATATTTAAAGTGATGAAAGGAAAGAACCTACAACCTAGAATACTCTAACCAGTAAGACTCTCCTTCAGATCTGATGGAGACATCAAAAGCTTTCCAGACAAGCAAAAGTTGAGAATTCAGCAGCACCAAACCAGCAGTACAACAAATACTAAAGGAACTTCTCTAGGCAGGAAAGACAAAAGAAGAGAAAGCCATACAGAAAATAAACTCAAAACAGTTAAGAAAATGGTAGTAGTGTCATATATATAGATAACTGCCTTAAATGTAAATGTATTAAATGCACCTACCAAAAGACATAGACTGTCTGCGTGGATGAAAACACGTGCATGTATGCACTTCCACTTACCACATCACTCTGCTTGACACCCCCAAATTGAGTGTAATTATTTTATATTGTTAAGCTAATCATGTTCCCATTATGGCTTGCAATTGTAATTATCTTTTATTGTTTCTTTCCCTATTGATTGTGAAATCACAACCTGTGTGGATCATGACAAAGTGTGGAAAATTCTCAAAGAGATGAGAATACCGACCACCTTACCAGCTTCCTGAGAAATCTGTATGCAGGTCAAGAAACAACAGTTAGAACCGGACATGGAACAACAGACTGGTTCCAAATTGGGAAAGGAATACATCAAGGCTGTATATTTCCCCCTCCTTGTTAAACTTATATGCAGAGTACATCTTGCGAAATGCCAGGCTGGATGAAACACAAGCTGGAATCAAGATTGCTGGGAGAAATATCAATAAACTTAGATATGCAGATGACACCACCCTTATGGCAGAAAGTGAAGTAGAACTAAAGAGCCTCTTGGTGAAAGTGAAAGAGGAGAGTGATAAAGTTGGCTTAAAGCTCAACATTCAGAAAACTAAGATCTTGACATCCAGTACCATCACTTCATGACAAATAGATGGGGAAACAACGGAAACAGCGAGAGACTTTATTCTTTGGGGGTCCAAAATCTGCAGATAGTGACTGCAGCCATTAAATTAAAAGATGCTTGCTCCTTGTCTTGACCAACCTAGACAGCATTTTAATATGCAGAGACATTACTTTGCCAACAAATGTGGTTTCTAGTAGTTTTCCAGTAGTCATGTATGAATGTGAGAGTTGGACCATAGAGAAAGCTGAACACCAATGAATTGATGCTTTTGAACTATGGTGTTGGAGAAGACTCTTGAGAGTCCCTTGGACTGCAAGGAGATCCAACCAGTCCATCCTAAAGGAGATCAGTCCTGGGTGTTCATTGGAAGGACTGATG